TGTGGATTCAGAACAGGCTCAGTCATCTGTGGAGTAGCTGATTCAAATTTATCGAAAAGGAGTGAGAGTGTGTTAGTGGGTGCTTTTGTATGCGTGCGCTGCTTGCATCCGTGCGTGCGTGGATCACGTGTCACTTGAGGGTAGCGTTTTTTTTTCTTTTCTTTTCGTTCTTTTTCTTTTTCTATTTTTCATCTTTTTTTTCTTTAGGTTTTTCTTCTTCTTCTTCTTCTTCTTCTTCTTCTTCTCCTCCTCCTCCTCCTCCTCCTCCTCCTCCTCCTCCTCCTCCTCCTCCTCCTCCTCCTCCTCCTCCTCCTCCTCCTCCTCCTTCTCTCGATACGTATCTGTGTGTATGTGAGTATTTGTGTATGTATATATATGCATATGTATACATATATATATATGTATACATATATGTATGTATAATAATTATATGTATAATATATATATTTTATATATGTATAATGTATAAATTTTATATACGTGTAATATGTAAATATTATATATATATGATTTATAAATACATACATATATACATATATACATATATACATATATACATATATACATATACATACACACACATACGTATCGAGAGAAGCAGAAGAAAAAGAAAAGAAAAAAAAGAAAAATGTAATGTGTATATGTATATATTAATAAATGTATATATATATGTATATACATATGAATATGTATATATATGTATACGTATATGTGTATATGTACATTATATATACACACATGTATATGTATGTGTCTTATATATACATGTATATATATATTTTTTCCGTTTTTCTTTTTCTATATGGATGTATATATATGTAAATGTATATATGCTTTGTATATATGTATACGTATATAGTATATATGTATACATACCTATGCTCGCACACCCACACACACACACACACACACACACACACACACACACACACACACACACACACACACACACACACACACACACACACACACACACACACACACACACACACGCACGCGCACATACATACATACATGTGTACATACACATGCAGACATATATACATATATACATATATACATGCTCACATACATACATGTGTAAGTATACATGTAAGCTATATGTGAAACAACATGTACGTCGGTTTTACATTCACATAAGATATATTACGCAGATCACAAGCCATCAGTCTTTCCATTATGCATTCGCTTCGTCATGTATTACTCGCTGGCTTGTTCACTCTCTCGCCCCCCCCCCCCCTGTCCATTTCCTGTTTTCTCTCCCTCTTCCCTTTCTTCTCTCTCCCTCTCGTCTCCCACTCTTTCTCCCTTTCCCTTTCCTCTATCCCTTCCACTCCACCTCTCTTCTCCCTCACCCCCACCCCTTCTCTTCTCCTCCCCTCCCCCTTCCCCCTCCCTCTCCCACTCTCCCTCTCTCCCACTCTCCCTCTCTCCCTCTCTCTCACTCTCACTCTCACTCTCACTCTCAGAGTCTCACTCTCACTCTCGCTCTCTCCCTCTCCCATTCTTCTTCTCCCCCCTCTTCTTCCCCCTTTCCCCTCTTTCCCCCATCCCCTTCATTTTCTTTCTCCCCTCCTCCCACCCTCTTCTTTTTCTCCTTCTCCTCTCCCACAATCCCTTCATCTCCCCCCCCCTCCCCTCCCCCTTTCCCTCCCATCCTCCTCCTTTCCCTCTCCTTCCTCCTCTCCCTCACCCTCTCCCCCTCCAGTGCTGTTTTCCCTTCTCTTTCCCTCTCCTCCTACCTCTTGTCACCTCCCCCCTCCCCCCCGCGCGTCATGCACCCAAACACACCCCCTAAATTTCACATCACACACCCACACGCGTATACCATTGTCTGTTGCTGTTCTTCGCCGTTAATGAAAGTGTGTTACGTAACGTGCATCTCGTACGTTGCACAAACACTGTACGGATGGTGATAGAACAAAGATGGTGTTTGGCCATGCATTTCTCTCTCTTTTTTTCTGTTCTTCGTTCGTTGTCGGAGAACAGATGGAGAAAGATAGATTTTTTTTTGTGGTGGTGGTGTTAGGGTGCGCGGGGAGGGGGGTGGGGGGAATATAAATTTGATTTAGGAGTCTTTTTTTTTGGGGGGGGGAGTCTTTCTACTAGAGTGTAGTGGAGACTTTCACGTGACGCGGACGTTTTCGTTTGGTTTTAGTCCAGATTTATTTCGACGCGTGGGATTTGTTTAAATGAACGCTTCAATAGAGGCTGAGGAGGACTGGATATTTGTTTTTTTATTCCATTGTTTATTTATTTGTTTATTTATTTATCTATCTATCTATCTATCTATCTATCTATCTATCTATCTATCTATATTTATTCTTCTTTACTGAATGGGATGATTATACGAATGGGTTTAGAACAAGGATGGTTCCTTATTTTGCGTTTCTCATTTCCGCACTTCCGCGTTCGATGGAGGACAGCTAGAAGAATTTACTTACCTACTTACTTACTTACTTACTTGATCGAGAGCAGCTAGAGGAATTTACTTACCTAC